CCTGTGGCATCTCTCAAAGCATCAGAGGGTTGGGTGTGGGTTTGGTTTGCACTGGGGCTGTGGGTGGCTGGTGGGTAGTACGTGCTGGGTGCTTGGCACCGGCCTCCAAGTTGGCTGAACTAAAACGAACAGAGCAACAAAACAAGGTCCCTTTTTCCAGTGCTTCTCTTACATTTTGCTTTGCATATCAGACTGATGAAAAAACATGAGCAGTCTTGAGTGTGAGGAGTGGCAATTCTGTTACTATGCTGAATCATAGCATCTGGAGAGGCCTACATTACTTCTGTATAATTAATACATGCAGTCCAATTGATGCTAAGGAAGTAGATGAGGAGATGGACTTTGAAATAAAGTATAATTAACAGATCCTTTAAAGGAAGGATTACAGGCTTTTAGTAGTAATGGGTTTTACACTTGTTCTCATGGGGAGGGGTTCATGAGGGGATGTAACCTAAAGGTACAAAGGCAAACTGTTGCAGGGGTATGCTTGAGTAGTCCCATTAAATGGATCAAAACAGTTTGGAGATGATATAAAAGAGCATATCCGTTATATGATTTTCCCACCCCAAGCTATTTCCAGTGTACAGAACAGATGGAGAGACTACAAACAGTGCATTTGACTGAGGCATGCAGGTAGTCCATTAAGACTTGGCCTACATCCAGTATAGGCATATGATTCTTTACTGGACCTATGCCACAAAGATGGCTTTCTGGGTAAATCTTTGTCTAGTCCTGGTATTGATTCTCCTGCACAACTCATTTGCCTAGTAGTTTGCATAATAAAAAAATTATAATGGTGGTGAAATGCTTAAAATGATTACATGTTTACAGCATGAGAACTTCAGGAAACAACAGACTGAGAAAATAAAGGACCAAGAAATCAGTTCCAAGGTGTATTTCCTGAAGCAGACAGTCAGTAACTCCTGTGGGACAATTGGTCTGATACATGCAGTTGCTAATAATAAAGATAAACTGAACCTTGGTGAGTATGAATGTTCTGAAGTGTTTGAATTTCCATTTTTTTTTAATGACAGAGGAAGAGTGAGTGGGTATGGGCTATAGGAGACACCTGGGGCTTTCATGCAAGCCAAGTTAAGGCATGCTCTACTGCTTCAGTGGGTCTTTCAGCTCTTGGAGAGGGGCATGTGTTCTCGCCTACTGCCTGAATTGCAGAAGGGAATGTACTTTAGCTGCTGTCTGGTAGCTGTAAAGGTATCATCCTAGTGAGTGATGCAAGAGGTCACTTAGTAGGACTGGCCAAAGTCCATTTGTAATTAGGAAGTACCACGTTCAGAAGTAGCTATTGAATTGTGTTGATGTTAACTGAAGAAATGAAACAAAATTTCACTTCATGAAATGAATTTTACATTTATGTCTAATGTAAACAGTCTTGCTCAGGGTAGCTTGTAAATCAGTCTAAGACATGTTTTCTTTTGGCTAGTGTAGGATGATAAGGGTTTGTAAGACTTTTTTTTTGTGTGGAGGTAATAGTTCTGATGGTTCTTTTCCTATTCAAAAGGTTATCAGGATATAAAACTGTCTTAGGCAACTGGTGGCTGGAAACTCCTAGGAAATAGGATTACAAATTCTTGTCAAAGGGTTGTTGAGTTCAGGAAATACTTCTATTATTCAAAGACTAGAGATTTGCAAAATACAACTTTCATTATTCCAAAAGAACTCGAACCCTTTGAATGGTGTGGGATTCCTTCTTATACAAATGGAAAACGTATAGAAAACTAAATGAGAGTAGCTTCGCTTTACTCTTGAAAGGATTCACTGAAATAACACGCTCTTGAAGCGTGAAATGGATGATGCAGCATTTCTTTCATGTAGGACTAGAACTTGGCACATCTTAGCACTGCACTACTAATTTACATACTGGAAAACCAAAGTAAGCCTAGCATGAGCAAGTACTTTGTTCATTTTAAGATAGTGAGACAACTTCTTTTCATCTACCCATATTCTGTTAGTTAATAAAAACAGGACTGAACACCTCAGCGAAGTCAGCAAGGGGGGAATTGGAAAAGCTAAATCCCACTTGAAAGTGAGTTCCAACTCAAGCATCCAGAGTACCCTGAACCACTTGAACTCTGGCTGTTTGTTCAGATCACTGTTAATAGCTTCTGAATAAATGGTTTACTTCAAGTGGTAGTTCCAGTATGCTTATGCTGGAGATGGTTCCAGGCTGAATGCAATGACTCCTAGTTAATGCAACAAGCACTGATAACTGTGGGCTGCATCTGAACTGTAACTGATGTTTCCTATACTGAATAAACTCTCTGATCCTCTTGTGCAGATGAGGGGTCTGCCCTGAAGAAGTTTCTTGATGAAACAGCTGATATGTCTCCTGAAGAGAGAGCTAAGCATTTTGCAAATAATAAGGTATATGAACTATACAAACTTCTGACAGGTATTGGCACTTAAGGATGTAGTAACCTGTATCTGCTTTCTCTTCAGGCTATACAAGAAGTCCACAATTCAGTTGCACAAGAAGGACAGTGTCGGGTAAGATATGAATGTTGAAGATCTCGAGTGAAGGTTAATGAAGGTGGTAGAGCAATGCAGTTTTTTGTCTGGTAGATAGCTGTTACAGCTTATGAGGAAAGAGAAATGAGTGACTCATGGGTGAATGCTTGTGCCAGGGTTTCTTCCTCAAACAAGGATTGGAAATTTGGTTTTAGACATGTGAAATGTGTCTGAAAATGTGACTGTACATAAGGAGTTTTGGTGCTTGATCTTGTGGAGACCTCTTCAGCTGAACTTGAAGTTTTTAGTTCTGTGCTATTGCTTTGTTGACATTTCCTCTGTCTTGTAGTCACAAGTAGAGTTCACAGAACTAGCTTTTTTCAGTCTAACAAGTATATCTAATGGTCTCTCCTAAGGTTGAGGACAACAGTGTGAACTTCCACTTTATCCTGTTTGTCAATGTGGATGGACATCTGTATGAATTGGGTAAGGTCCTTAGAACTCTGGAGTTGGACTGGGCCTCCTTCACAGTGTACAGCAGCATTGGGGGCTCAGGCTAGATGCTTAGTTAAGCTGTTCACTGAGGCTCTCAAAGCCAATACATAATTTGTATCTTCACTTGAAGATTTTACCTGAAGATGGGTTGTACTGAAGGCCTAGGCCTTCTTGTAAAGCATGTCATCTCCTGTAGAGCTGGGAATACTTAGTCCTCACTCAAGCTGTGTATTGACAATTTGTTCTGACCTGCCAAGTATCTTCATGTGTGTATTTGTTTCTTGGGCCTGCTATGCTCAGTTCTGATAATTTGGAAGCAATATTAAGTACACTGAGTGATAGGACTTTATTTCACAGATGGGCGTATGCCATTTCCTGTAAACCATGGCACAAGCTCAGATGACTTGCTACTGAAGGTAAGACTTCTCCATTGCTGCTTATTTTCCTGAAAAGAAGGCTTATAAAAGGTTGAGAGGCATGCCTTTAGTGTAGAAGGGTGGGAGGCATGTGTTCAGTGTATAGTGGCTGTACCTAGTTGCTGAACAAGTTGGTGTTGCTTATACCATGGTAACAAGTAGTATTGTGCCACAGAGATAAATGTCTGTATTTATTAGCTGGTGCTACAAGACCTTGTAACTTAGTTGGGTGGGACCCAGAGAGGAGCTGCAGAGACTTGGTCTCTACAGCAAGTGTATTCTGGTAGTCTAAACAGCTTTTTTTTTTTTTCCCCTACAAGGATTCTGCTAAGATCTGCAGACAGTTTACAGAACGCGAAAAAGGAGAAGTTCGTTTTTCTGCAGTGGCTTTCTGCAAGTCTGCTTGAGGATCTGAAGAGATGCAAGGAAGGCAGTCTAATAGCACAGCAGTAAATGCAATTCAAACTCCAGTGCTTCAGTACTTGTTAAACACAGCTGTTCTGGTAACTTAAATTGTTTCCACCTTTTGCTATACACAGAAGCAACATCAGCTGAGCTTATGCTAAGGGATGAGCTCGAGTTTTAATGTGAACAGTTTGGACACATGAGAAGTCTTTTGACTCTTTTTTTTTTTCACATGTTAAGTAGAAAACGCTTAACAGGGCTTGTTTAATCTGTGTCATGTTAATTGAGTTATTGGTTGATATTTCCTTGTCCTTAATGAGAATAAAATGTTTTGCTGAAAGACTAAATGTACTGAAGTGATCACTAACTTTCTCCAAAAAAAGGTTTGTGGGGCATCCTCTGTGAGGGTCCTCTGAAAACAAGGTTTATAGCTTTCTTCAGAGCAAAAAGTTAATGTCAGCCTCAGGTTAGCAGGACAACTGCTTTTTCCAGTGTCCTAGACTGTCTCCAGGGATGGAGAGATGCACCCCTGTCTGTGTAATGTGTTCCAGTGCTGCACTAATCTTCTGGTAAAGCTTTTTCCAATGTACAGGCTGAAACTCCTTGCTGAAGTTTGCCACCCTGAATATATTTATTTTAGAGATGTAAGGTGTGATAAATGAACACTCAAATGTCAACTTGAAGCTGTTGTATTAATGCTACAAGCAACAGAATACTAATTGAATTGGTTGGTGGTGTGTTTCCCTACCAGAGACAGTATTAGAACAAGTTTTTGCCCTGCCTGTGGTTAAAAGAAATCTGCTGGCAAATGCTGAACACAATATTCAGCTAGCCCGTGTGTGCTTATTAACTTGTGATTGTGTTAGGAAGGTGTTGAAAGAGGCTATACTACCTGTCCCTTCCAAAGTTATCTAATAAAGGAGAAACCCCCACTGCATGAATTTTTAATAGGATGAGATTGAGTTTAAGATGAATAAAGATATATAAATACTACATATTCTTTGGTCTCAACTCTGTGATCTTCTATGGAAGCTGTTCTTACCTAAGTCTAGCTGCTGTTTTTCTGCAGCTCCTTGCTGCTACCTTGGGTAGCTGTAAGAAGGAATAAAGTGCCCTTCAACCCAGGCCTTCTACTGCATTATGTCCCAGGCTGTGCCTGCCAGCCATGTTGTGTGGTTGCTGGTGCACTGTGCATGATGCAAACTGTTCCTGGCTTCCAGGATTTTTTGAAGGGCAATTCAAAATACGAACTTTGATTAAAGCTGTGTGTAATCTGAAGGTGTGTGGTATTGGGCCTTGTTACTGCTCATACAATTACCCAATAGCTGAAGCTGCTGGGGGCTGCAACACATTTTAATTCAAATTCTGAGGATTAGCTAAAGCTCAGAGTACTTCAGTTCTGAGAGCCAGTCTCATTCAGTTTCTGATAGTAGAGAGGTGAAAGCTACCTGCTGAGGAAAGGTCTGTTACCTGTTGCTCCCTGTTCTCTACAACAGCATCTTGTTCTGCCTGTTAGTGGAAGTTGTCACAGGGTGGAGGGAGGCCTCCTGGGGCATCTCTGCTGCAGCCTTCTGCTCCAGCACAGGCTCAGAGCCATGCAGGATGCTTAGCAATGAAGCCTGCAGGAGAGGAAATGCATGTGGCATGAGCACAGGAGGATGGAAGGAGCAATAAAAATCATGCCTGGGGGAGTGTGCCTTAATTCTGCAGGGGACCCTTAATATGTCTTTAAGGCCATTGCAGAGGGTACCTGCAGTAACTGTGCCTGTGTAGAGTTACATGGGCAGTCAATCAATGCTGAAGCAACCTGAAAGTATCTTTGAGACATGACTGTGGTTTTTATAGTGATTGTGCAGTCAAATGCTTCTGGGTTTGGTTTGTTTTTTTCTTTCTTTAATCAAGCAATATGAATGTCTAATGCTACTGAAGTTGTTTTAGCATTTCGTAAACATTTTTTACTCTTTTGATCAAGCTTCTGGGTTAAGGATCTACTGAAAGGTAATATTTGAATAATTTTGGCCTCATGGAAAAATAGGGAAAGGGTTGTGACAGACCTTTCTTATTTTCTCACCTTCTAGTCCCAGGTAGAGCTTCAAAGGATGGAAGTAAAGAGAATGACTAAGGAATTAATGTTATCCATCCACTCATGTGTAACATCACTAGCAAGGCTGTTGTCCCCCACTAAAATTAGCACAGGGGCTTGGCAAACAGTGGGGCTATACTGTAAAGCAGCCTGGATACAAAGAGGAAGATGAGTTGCTGGGGATGGCGAAGGTCTCAGGAGTTGGGATAGAGTTGCCTCAGATGAAGGAGGTCTCAAACAACGGGTGAGGATCTGTAAGATGAATAGATGGAAGCTTTTGCTGTACTAACAGTGCAGCTGTTCCAGATGTGTTACTGCATTCAGAAGAAAAGTTGCAATACATGGAAGTGTGTATGTGCCAAGTCAAAACCATATAGCATAAGCCACAAATAGAAAAGATGGAAGATGTTTAAAAGTCATATGAGGTGCATATAATCTCAAAATAAATGCTTCTTATGCATATTTTGCAGCTAGTTTTACCTACTTGCAAGTTTTTGAAGTGTTTGGACTGAGAGGTGTAAATGTCTAGGCTTTTTTTTAGAGTGCTATGAGTCAAAACACATTTGCATGAGAAGATGCTCTCTGATAATTTAGTATTTTCTGTTGGTCACATCGTATCTGAATTAAGGGTCATTTTGTTTCTTGTCTGTGCTTGTTTTCTCCTCTTTGTGTTTTTATCTTAAATCTGTAGTTCCATATGGGACTGTTATCTTTCATTGATTTTCTGTGCATCCTCCTTAATTTAATTATCTCTTTGAACCTCTCTATTTCTCATCTAAAACCCTACGTGTTTTTCCTGAATTTTCCCCTGAATTTCCACTGTGATGATCACTGAGAAGGGCAGGAGGTTGTGAAACCTGTTTTGTGTTTTGTGCCCGCTCTGAGAGAAACCTTTGACTGGCTGTTGTCACTGCTGCTTTTCCAGAGATGTGAGGACTCTATTAAGCAAATTATTTAATTTGAATTAACAAGTTCCTGCCATTTTTGTTCAGCCTTCCAGAGGTGGACTTGTAACAGTTAATATATAGAATTATCCTTGGAAATACTTGAGAAATATTTAAGAGTCTCAGGTAGGATTTCAGGCTTATCTGTTTAAACCTACACATTGCTAATTTAGAACTGTATCCAGGGTTGACTGTGCGCAATTTATCACTTTCCTAACAGTTTTCTTGTCTGCTGTGTTCAAAGCTGTGGTTGACGTGTTCTGTAGGTGGCAGCATTGGGAAGCTTTCAGCAACAAGTCTGATTTAGGAGCCACCAACGGCAAAACAGATGGGGCGCAATTTTATTCAACCACATAGGTAATGCTAAATCCACAGGTATGGCTTTCAGTGAGACCACTCACATGCTTAAGCATGCTTCTGACTTCAGAGACAAATATCCAATCCTTAATTTAGTCAAATGTTAACTCAGGCGTTATGTCATGTCCAAAGCCTCTTACACATTTCGATACCCTTTGGCTTAGGCCCGCAGCTGACACAGCACCACCTCTTTGTCCAGTATATACCACTGAACAATATATGCAGTACTGTTTCCATGCTAAATAGGATTCTTTTTGGGGGGACTAAGGAAAGAAAGAGTGGGAATAACTCCAGCAGTATCCAGCTTTTGATGCACAGACCAGTTTATCAAACTACAAATATTTAAGACGGAGAAGTACTTACCTGAAAAAGGGAACTAGACATACTAGTATCTTCTGCCTTTGATGCAAAGGCACCGGGGAGCTCTAGGGGTCAGTCCCATCAGCCTGTGTGTGGGGCGTCGCGAGAAACCGAGACTGGCAATAAGTATCATCGTCATGGGTTCCTGGTGCTGCCGACAGCCAAGAAGAGGCTGATGACAGGACTGCAACTCAGTGAGACTGTGGACCAAATGGAAGCACAGAAGAACTGGGACAATTCCAGACAGAAGCTGAGTAACAGCATTAAAATTCCTTTGTGACCAAAGGAATTAAAATATCGCTCGTGTTTTGTCATTTTTAAATTCGTGCATAGGGTGATATTAAATTACAGGGAGCGGTTGACATTCCAAACTCTTCAAACCCGAGGGACCTCAACAGATGAAAGGAGAGGATGGGGCTAGAGGAAACCTCATGGAGTTCAGCACGGCGAGGTGCAGAGCTTGGCACCTGGCTGGAGCCACTGCATCTCTGCACAGGCTGGGAGGTGACTGGCAAAGTTGCAGCCATGCTCAACAAGCCCTGGGGGTTATGGCAGTTGCCAAATTGAATATAAGCCCATGTGTTGTGAGCTCTCCTTGCAAGTAAGGCAGATTGCATACTATGTTGGGAGCTACTGGGAGGAGTGAGGCCAGCAGTTGGAGGGAAGTTATCCATCTCTGCTTGGCGCTGGTGAGGCTGCAGCTGGAATAGCATGTCCAGTTCTGGGTCCCCCCTCCAGTCCAAGAAGGACATGGAGGAAACTGGAGAGGATCCAGCAGAAGCCTATGAGGCAGCCAGAGGCATAGAGCACACAGACTACAAGGAGAGGCTGGTGGAGCTGAGCATATATAGTCTGGCACTGGGGAGACTAAGGGAGGATCTGATGGTAGCCTACAACTACTTCAAGAGCAGCTGCAAAGACAACAAAGCCAATTTTTGTTTTCTTGGTAGTAGGAGATGGTATATCAAAGGGCGGTAACCACAAATTACAGCTTAGAGGGTTCAGTTTGGGACATTTGGAAACCAGAATGGTACTTCTTCACTGGGAAGGTAGTACAGTTCTGGAACAAGTCATCAGAGAAACGGGGGCATCTCCACCCTTGGAAGTTTGAAAGGGACCACGATTTAACAACCAGCTTTTGTTAAACTGCCTCAGGTTACCCGTCACAGCATGAAAAACTGGAACAGCAATTAGTGTTGCTCCAGCCTTGGGAATGGAGCGCTGTGCTCCTTGATGAGAAGCTAATTGTGAGTCTCCTCTCTGTGCCGTGTGTGGGGGAGCCATTCCCCCCAGAAAGAGCTGGAGGCTGATGGTGCTGACTCCTGCTTTTGTGCTCTGGCTGGGGTGGAAGGACAAGAATGGCTGCGGGAACAGACGCCATGCATCTAGGAGGAGGTGCAGGTTTTGTCACTGATGAGGGGGTTGTCTCTTCACAAAGAGTAGGGGAAAGCAGAGGCTAGGGTGGATCTGAGGCAGTTCTTCCATGACCCATGAATCAGACACAGAAGTATGGGGAATCCTCCCTGAAGATGTGTATAACTTCCCTAAGGGTGACAGGGAACCCTACTGGGAATGAGGGGCTGGAAAAAGAGCAGAGAATGAC